CAATACTACAGAGTATCAGCATAATCTGGGAATGGCCCACTATGGGGAGTGCTGGTCAGGTGTGTGTCAGAGGAAGACCCTAGATTCATGGGAAAATAAAAGTAGACAGTATCATTGTATATGACAGGGAGGTGGCTTCCAGGTACAGAGGTACCCCAACACCTGGAACTGTACCACATATATATAGAACCAAGGGGCCTGAAGAGCAAGTCTTGGGAGCAGTACAGCGGGCCTGTGTCTTAGCTTGGGCTCCTATAATACAATACCATAGACTGGGGGGATTAAGGAGCAGAAATTTATTTCTTACAGTTCTGGAGGCTGGGCATGGTCAGGTGCCAGCACGGTCAGGTTCTGGTGAGGGTTCTCTTCTTAGCTTGCAGTCGCCTTCTTGTGGTATCTTCACATGGCAGAGAGACAGAGTATGGGAGCAAGCAATCTCTCTGGTCTCTTCTTTTAAGGGCACTAATCTTATCATTAGGATCTCAGCCTCATGACGTCATCTAAACCTAATTATCTCCCAAAGACGCACCTGTAAATATCATCATACCTGGGGAGGGGGGTAGGGCTTCAACATATGAATTTGAGGGGGACTCAATGCAGTCCATAGCAGCCTAAGTACTTGGGTTGGAATCCCGATCTTCATTTCATAGCCAGGGCTTTGGGTAAATTATTCAATCTCACTTTGCCTCAGTTTCCTCATCCATAAGATAGAAATAGAAATACAAGTCCCTGCCTCAGGATGCTGTTGTGAGGCATGAACAAATACAATTAAAGAACCTGGACCAGTGTCTGCAGCATGGCAACTGTGAGTTATTTTTGTTATTAGCTATAATTATCCAGGTAGGTGAGGGCAAACGAAAACCCTTAATTAGGTGAAAGCTGAGCTTTGCACTTGAACCCAACCAGAACACCCACCTTAGCTAGGTCAACATTTACCAGTGGCCTCGGGAGTTGGCAGCAAATGACCTGGAACCAGCCTACGTGCCGTCACGGGTCTGCCCCGACACACCTAGTCTCCTGTGCAGAGCATCAGGCTTCCTTTCCCACCAACTGGGCCTACCTTGTACTTCCCGTTCTCTCTCAACTGCCACCTTGTCTTAGCATTTCTCTGTGTCTGTCATTTTCTCACTTCTCGGGGGAAATCTTTAAGGGTTCTTGGCAGCCATTCTCTGGTGGCCAAAGAGCCCTATTCCCTCCTCAGGGTGCCCTCCTAGGACTAGCTGCTGAAAAGGGGCTGCCACTCATGCTGGTTCTTCCTCTACTTGGATCCCTAGAGCAGACGTCAGCAGGGCAGCCACCAGAACAGGAGATGCTTGGGGGAGAGACCCACAACAAGGGCAGGAAGTCCAGACAGTACTGCAGTCTTTTTAAGCTCCCAGATTCCATTTAGCTTTGTTCTCCCTCCTTCTTCCAGACCTATCAGACCCAACACCCCCTTTTAAATACAAATATTTTGTAATTCTCAGGTGAGTCTCCAGTAATGAAATGCATAGATAAAACCATCTACCTGCATACTTACCTCCAAAGTACTAACATAATGCTCTAACTGTGCTATAAAGCAGAACTAAAGAGGGTGATTTATAGATATTTCAATATGTAGATGCTCAGGCATGACACTGTTAGAAGACAGTGTTTGTCAGCTCCTTGGTTTCCAGACAGATCTCCATGAATACAACACGCACAAATGCAAGTGGTGGGCCATTGGTGATTTGATTTTCCAAAATGGTGGGCATTTCCTGGAAAATTCCAAATAAAGTTCAATTTTGCCTGGATCTACCTGAGAGCCACTGCTCTAGGCTGTTTTGAGAAAAGCTCTGTGTAATGGTAAAATGTTCACGCATGCCCATTTCCCTGTCCAACTCCAAAGGGCCAAGTAAGAAACAGAGGCCTGGGGATCAGAAAGAATCAACTGGAGTCAAGACAGACATTCAAACCCTGCTGTACCACCTCCTTTGATGTGACCTTGGGGCAGTTATTAACCTAACCTTGGCTTCCTCATCTACAAAATATGCATATAAAATACCCACCTGATGTAGTTACTGCAAGGATTAAATGAAATCATGTGTGAAAAGCACACTACACAGGACCTGGAATATAGAAAGCTCTCAGTAAAGGCTTTTAGAGTGACAAGTAGGCAGGAAATAGCGCAGGGAAGGAAAAAAAACTCTTTTTCCTCTTCCCATCTTAGGTTCTTCAACTGGGGCCTGTAAGCTGGCAAAGACAGATTAACAAGAGAAAAACGGAAGTTTATTAACATGTGCATCATGCATGTACACAAGGGAGCACCTAGCGATGAGTAACCCAAAGAGGGGGTTAGAATTTGGGCTCATAGCTTATCTTAGGCTAAAACAAAAGGGTTTGGGGTTTCTGGGTGTGGGAGACCAGTCATGGGAAGGTGATCAGAGAAAGCACAGTAAACAAGGGCAGTTTAGGAAGGCTTGTTATGCAGATTTAAGTCATGCCTTCTCCATTGGTAAGAGTTGTTAAGAGCCTTCCTTTTCCTGGTAGAGAGGGAGACATCGTTCACAAGCGGAAATCTTTACAAAAGGAAAACTTATCCCCTGTTTTTAGAACTTTTCCTGCATCTACTGGGTCTCAGTGGCCTTAAGCTCAAAATAACTCAGATGCCAAGAGGCATAATTTGGGGTGGCATATTCTGCTACCCTTCAATAGTCAACAAATATTCACATATCAGAGCTCTTCAGATGGTCCCTGCCTCCAAAGGTGTGACTTGCAGCGTCTCCCCGACACCAGGAACTAAGCCCAGGAGAAAGACAAGTCCAGCTGGGGAGCTGTCCCCTGTTTTCTTTGCCCTCGGGGAACCAGGCTCACTGACTCACAGGGCTCGGTGGGTCTCCAGTGGCTCCTGGAGAAGCCTACAGGGTCACCCACCACCCTGTGGAGTCAGGATCCCTGGAAAATACCTCAAGGGCCTCTGTGGCTGAAGAATATTGACCACCTACCATGGGGTTGGGGTGATACTGGTCAAGAAGCAGCCAGGATCTTGGTGGTGTCACGTGCTTAACCAGAGCCTGATTTTCTAGGACACATACGACTGTCAGGTACTTCTGCTTTAGATATTTTTTGCTCTTGAAATGTCCATCTTCTGACCTAGACAGCTGTGCGAGGCACTGTTCAGGTCAAACTCACCCTGAGTTGCATCCGGTTTATGGATCCTCTCGGCAAATATTTAATGAGTAATCACTGTGAGCAAGGGATGAAGCAGTAAGCAGTGCAGGCAGAAATCCACTCTTTATTTGATCTCTTAAATAGACTATGAATTCTTCTCTATTTGTGCTCACCTCAGAGCATAATGGTAATAATAAAAGATTAAAACATATAGAGGGCTGCCATGTTCCATGCACTATTTTAAGTGATTCATAACTGCACTTTTAGTGCATGTCCTCATTCAAATTTCATAATCACCCTTGAAATAGCTTTTATTTATTTATTTACTTTCAATTTATGTATTTTATTTTTGGCTGCATTGAGTCTTCACTGCTGTGCGCGGGCTTTCTCCAGTTGAGGCAAGCGTGGGCTACTCTTCGTTGCGGTGCGCGGGCTTCTCCTTGTGGTGGCTTCTCTTGTTCCAGAGCAGGTGCTCTAGGTGCGCGGGCTTCAGCAGTTGTGGTGCGCAGGCTCAGTAGTTGTGGCTCACAGGCTCTAGAGCGCAGGCTTAGTAGTTGTGGTGCACGGGCTTAGCCGCTCCGCAGCATGTGGGATCTTCCCGGACCAGGCCTCGACCCCGTGTCCCCTGCATTGGCAGGCGGATTCTTAACCACTGTGCTATCAAGGAAGCGTGAAATAGCTTTTAATATTATCTCCATTTTATAGATGAGGAAAATGAGGCATGAAGAGGTTAAATAATTTGCCCCAGGTCACACAGCTAGCAAGTGTCAAAGTCAGTATTTCAAGTCCCACCTGCTCCAGCACTTCTGTGCTCTACCTCCCATGGTACACAGTGGGTGTTTAATAAATAAAGGCTGAATGATCAAGACATCATCTATGTATACGCACGCACATGTTTATTTATATAAATAAAAAAGTTTCACTTGTGCTTTCAGCACCTCAGCATGGCGTAGCGTGTGAGTCTTCTGGTCTTTCTCCATGGAGTTCTCACATCTCAGATGGTGAGTAGTCACTGGTGTGTTCCCACTTCTTCCCCTTCCAGGGTATCTAGATTTACCTATAGGAACACAAAGGCACATGACATCTAGGTTTCCTGTACTCTGGAGATAAGATAGATTATGTCAAATTTTTTTCCCCATTCTTATACCCTTTTATATCCATTCCCTCTTTCAAGAAAGGATCTAAATTCATTTATGCTAAAATGAAGGTGACTAAGGGTAACTTAGGAATCAATACATGTTCAGAAGCAATGTTTAAGTTACTGACTCCAAGGCAGGGAGAGAGAGAGAGAGACTAAATTGGATAAGGGGAAGGTCCTTCTGCTCAAGAATAACTCCACAACACATTCTACCTAAAAAAATATTTAAGTTTAGGTTTTTGTTTAAAGACGCAGAGAAGAGCCCATGGATACAGAGGGAGATGGAAAAGGAGAACAACAGAGATCTGACTCAGAGTCTCCAATGCGCTGCTTATTTCGTCTGAAATATTTTTTCCTTCCACCCCTCACCCAGAGCGGCCCTGCTCCTCCCTCAATATCTCTTAACTGCTAGTCATCCCTGGGAGTGTAGTTTAAACAGCACTTCCCTGACCCTCCCTCCTCCCCCACACCAGTCAAGTCAGATCATCCCAGACACACTCGCATTCCCTGCACTTCCTTGAAGCACTTTATTTTTTCTTTAATATTTATTTACTCACTTATTTGGTTGCACCAGGTCTTAGTTGCGGCAGGCAGGCTCCTTAGTTGTGGCATGTGAACTCTTGGTTGTGGCATGCATGTGGGACCTAGTTCCCTGACCAGGGATTGAACCCAGGCTCCCTGCATTGGGAGCACAGAGTCTTAGCTCACTGCGCCACCAGGGAAGTCCCTATAATAATGTTTTTAATATTTACAAAGTCAGAACATTAATATCACCTTCAGCATCCTGAACTCGCTTATTTTGGTTTTGTTTTCTAATCGATTCTCTCTCATCAGCCATGTATAAAATGATTTTTCCTTTTCTAGCATTTTGTGGAACATTTTCAAAGTTTTCAATTTATACTGCTAGAGAGTGCCCCATTTTCCAACTCTTCTAATTACATGGATGGATATGACCAAATTGTCTGGTAGTATGGTCTAAAAATATATGGAATTGATTTTCCAAGTCATATTTGCCAATGCCAGATGCATTAGGCCTTTATGCTATTTTAAGATACTTTTAAAAATATTGAAATACATCTTCTGACAATCTTCACAATTAAATAAACCACCAGATACTTTTACAGAATGGTAATAGGCAGTAGGTGAGCATCAAGGACGAATGTTCAGCCAAGGCCACTTATGAGGTCAAAGTATTTTGAGATACAAATCCAATTTTTATAGGCAAGAATTTTTTCTTGGGATTCATCCGAATTTGTATATTTTTGGTTATGGCCTGCATTTGGTCAAAAACACCTATAATGTTCTTAAGATAAAGATCTATTTTGCAAAGCATCTGTGAGGGTAGTTAGCAGAGCTGTTTGGAGACTGGATTTCAGATTCATTGTAGCTTTGCCCCTTTGCCTGAGATCAGTGGTTAAAATGGACTTCTGACACACGGTCAGAGCAGGGTTCAGATATTGGCGGTATTATCTTTGGAATTGTAATTTTTATAGTTCTTACGTGTATTTCCTAGGGCTGCTGTAACGAATTAGCACAAACCTGGTGACTTAAAACGATAGAAGTTTATTCTCAGAGTCTAGAAGTCAGAAGTCACGGTGTCAGCAGGGCCATGTGTTCTCCAAAGGCTTTCAGGGAGAACCCTTCCTTGCCTCCTCCAGCTTCTACTGGCTCTTGAAGTTCCTTGGCTGGTGGCAGCATAATTCCAGTCTTTGCCTCCATCCTCGCAAGGCCTTCTCCCCTGTTTCTCTGTGTCTTAAAACTCTCTTATTGGGTTAAATCCAGGATGAACTCATCTGGAGATCCTCAATTATATCTGCAAAGGCCCTATTTCCAAAGGTCACAGTCACAGTACTGAGGGTTAGAACTGGTACAGGTCTTTCTAGGGAACACGGTTCGACCTGCCACACCTACCAAAGTCCATTTAGGGCATGTGATGTATCACACCCACCCTTCTCATCTATCACAATGTGCTCCTTCAGAGGACCCGGTGGCAGGTCAGAGGTGGGCCAAGCCATGAGCTCAACATGATACATCTTTGAAGACTGGGACATTATTATAGGGACTTCCCTGGTGGTGTGGTGAGTTAAGACTCTGCGCTCCCAATGCAGGGAGCCTGGGTTCAATCCCTGGTCAGGGAACTAGATCCCACTAGTTTCCTGGAAGATTTTTGTTGAGAAAAATTTAACTGGTGATTTAAAACATATAAATAGTATAATAAGCGTATTGTGGCACAGAGTTCAAAATTCACGTAAATATTTAAGAGGAAATGGGAGACTCCAGCATATATTTCAGTAGGCAATGGCTTTCCTACTAGGCCTCTAGAGGAACGGCATCCACTCTTTTGCTGGTGGGGTACCTCAGAGTGAAAGTTTGGGCTTTGTCATCACAGTCCCCATTATTCACGAGCAACCTAGAAGTCTGTAACATATAATTTGTCATTTTGTGGAAACTTGAATTGTGTGTTGCTATTGACTGATTTATGGGAACAAATGACTAACCTAGCAAGTCAGTCTGGCTGGTCACCCAGCATAGGCATCTAGACTCGGCAATATTGTCCCTGGTTCTCACCCGTTCTGTGGGAGATAGAGTAAAATACAGGGTCATGTGTGAATTTTAGAATTTGTACAAGTGATTTATTCAACATATATTTCTTGACCAATGGTATGGGGATACAAGAATGATTCCCCCAAAAAGAAAGAATTCTTGTTCTTTCCAAAAAGGTAGATAGATAGATAGATATAGATATATGTCTACTATATATTTAGAATTAATGGGAAATATAAGCATACATACCATCGCTGCCCATTTGGCTTAATCAGGATGGACATTGCTAATTGATCTTGGCGCTCTTTCCTGCTGAGTCCGTGTTTTAGTCTGCTTGGGCTGCTGTACAAAATATCATAGACTGGGTGATTCAAACAATAAGAACTGATTTCCCCCAGTTCTGGAGGCTGGGAAGTCCAAGATCAAGGTGCCGGCCAAACCATTCCTGGTGAAGCCTCTCTTTTTGATTTGCAGACGACCATCTTGTATCCGCACATGGCAGAGAGAGAGGAAGCAAGCTCTCTGGTGTCTTGTCTTATAAAAGCACCAAGCCCAGTCATGAGGACTCCAACCTCACAACCTAATTACGTTCCAAAGGCCCCACCTCCAAACTATCACATTGGGAATTAGGGTTTCAATATATGAATTGTAGGGGGACACAAATACTTAGTTCATAGCAGCCCAGTTATGGCTTCAGGAACAAAGGACATCTGCGCTTCCTGTATGCCTTCTTCATAGGGCTGGTATCAGAAGTGAGAGCATACCGTTTTAACCACTGATTTTGATAATTTTATATTCAGAGCGATGCTTTCTATTTATACATTTTTTTTCATGAGATACTTTTGGCATTATTATTCACTTAATTCATCCAAGGGACTAAAAACATTTTGGAACATTACAGGATGTCACAAAGGGCCTAATGTGAAGATCTAAGTGGAAATCCTCTGAAGTTAGAAAAAAAAAAAAAGGGAATTTTAGCCAACATACACACATAGCTGAAAAGGTGTGTGTTTTTGGGGGGAGAAGATAAAAGTCAAAGTTGAAACCTGGCTTGCTCCTGGGGTCTGGCTGAGGGGGCGTGGGGTGGTGTCAGGGGTAATTTTGCACATGGGCTCACAGACCAACTTGCACCGTCTCTGAGGTCCCAGCCGAGGAGGAAGCTGAGATGAGAAGGCCAAGGTTGGTTCTGGCTGCAGAGCAGAGACACAGAAACACAAGGCAAGAGAGTATGTGAGGCCAGGGCTCCGGTGAGAAGGAGGGATGGGGACAGAGACCGCTTCTGGCCCTTGACTTGCCCTGAGTCTGTTTGCACGGTTCCCATTTTATCCAAGACATTATGTATCTTGCCAGAGCCACACACTTAGTATATGTACTTTGAGTAGCTCTTCTCCACATTTTGAGTAATAGGTACCCATTTGGAAAGGAAGCAACAGACCAAAAGAAAAAAGGGGTTCTAAGACAACTTCATTTTTCTGTTTATAGAAAGGGGTGCTTGGTTTGCCAGAAGAAAGCAGTGACAGCAGTCCTGGGTACAGAAAAAGCTACTATATAGTTCAGATGCTGGTAAGTCAATAATAGCATTTATGTTTCCTAAAAGAATTGTTACTTTGGATCAGGGTTTCTCAATAGCGGCACTACTGACTTTTGGGGCTGGATAATTCTTTGTTGCCGAGTTGCCCTGTGCATTGCAGGATGTTTAGCAGCATCCCTGACCTGTCCCCTCTAGATGCCAATAGTCCCCCTATCCTCCATATGTGACAGCCAACAATGTCTCCAGACATTGTCAAGTGTCCCCTGGAGGGCAGAATTTCTCCCAGGTTAGGAACTTTTGTTTTAGATAATTGACAAGAGAAGTCCATACTTGAATTGTTGAAACTTAGCACTCTGGTAATATTTGAGGGACTGGTAAAATAAGAGTGTGTCTGAATTTTTCAAACCTCTTGTGTACTGAACCCAAATAGAAATATTTCGGATTCAGCGAGAACAGATTTTTTTTTTTTTCATGTAATATTCTTCTGTCATACCAGAAAAATTTGGTCCTGGGCTAAGTTTAGAAGATATAAAGCTGAAACTAACCATTTCAATTCTAATATCATCCTGAAGGAAATCCTAAAATAACAACGACACCAACCAAAAATTTAATCATTTAGGACATAATGACTAGGATGTTTGTAGGCTCTAACTCTTGCCTAAAAAGCTCTGTGGCTCCCTTAGCAAGACCAACAGAACTTGGGCTCAAGAAAAACTTTGACCTATTTATAGTTTTTGTTCATGGCACTTTACTACTCTAATGGGAAACTGGTGATGAAAAATAGGTCAATGGAGACAAGAAGGATATAAAGATATTAGGCCAAATGAAAGGACACTGACGAGTCATGGGGTTTGTGGAGTATCGCTCACTTGTGCCAAAAAGATTTCTTTGTTGAAGATGTCCTATCATTGTGACACACTGGTAATAAAGGGGAGAAAAATGAAAGGACAGAAAATATCTAGCCCATCTTAACTGTTCAGTCAAAGCACCAGCATGCAAATGACTCTGGTGGTGGGTGGCAGTGACCAGGGTACAGCAGGGATCTAAGGATGCTTTAGGGCCTTTCTACTTGGGGACACTGACATGGACCTGTCCCCAGGAATTGCTTCCCCATTCTCTAAGTTCTGTATCTCAGAGGACAGATGGCATTCAAAATGTAGGCAAATCAGGCAAAAGCCAAACCAGTTTCCCAGTTTAGCCCAACTTCAACCACACTTACCTATTGCATGTCACCCCAGCCTCAGATGCTCCCTTTATCTCCTACAGAAGTCATATGTGCACTGCTCCCTCAAAAAAAAAAAAAAAAAAAAAAGGGGTTCTTTTAGGCCAAAACTGTCAATTAGCCTGGCGCCACCTGTATACTCCAGCCAGGAAGTGCTTTCTCTAACTTGATCTCTCTGTCCTTCTACTTACAGCCAATTCAAACACTAAAAGAGCGACCAGAGAATACTTACGACAGGAAGGCAGCACACTTGCTAGCTTTGTGGCCTTCCAGTGTTTTTGGAGCACCAGATGGAATAAGACCCCCTGTCAGCACGGTGGCGCATGTCCAGCTTCTCCAGTGCCCATCATTTCTCGACAGAGTCCGTCCACCCCGTCTCTTCCCCTGTTGGGAAGCACAGCTCTGAGAGGCCCTGTCCTTGCACCCTCTGCCCAGTCCAAGACATCGGAGGGAAATGGAGAGGCCTCTGTACCTGGGAACCTGGGGACCTACTGTGGTGTGTCAGCCAGGTTTCCCTTGACACCCCAAGTTCTGACTACTCCAGGTCTCCCCACAAAGGGAGTACTTCACAGCAGCAGCTTCCTCACCTCTCCCCCCCGCCCCCCGACTAAGGAGCCCCGAGGAGATACGTAAGCTGAAGTGTTCAGTGCTCCCTTCTCTTGGGAGAAGGCCCAGACCCACATCCGCCTGTGCCGCTGTCTGCGTGTGGAAGCAAATTTCAAGGGAAGCGTTCAAAGCTCAGGAGCTCCTGGTCATAGTCAATCACCCCTGGGGATGTACCCTGTGAACCTACTTTTATTACAGGATTCACCTCAATCACCAACTCCCGTAGAAATGAAGTTCTTCTCTCAGGAGGTGCCATAGAACCAGGAAAGCGATGTTGGCACGTACACTTTGAGGCAATTTCTGTTACCTAAAAATAAAACAGCACAACTTCTAAACCATTCCTGAAAAAAAATTTTTTTTCAGCCAATTGTAGGCAAAAGTGGGAAGCCATAGGAATTTGCCATCTGTTGCCCTGTCCTATCTTTTTAGTTTTGCATTTTTGTCCCTTGCCCTAGGGATTGGAATCTCCTGTTCTCAAATTGTCTCTGCCAAATCTGGAGTCTTTTTTTAAATAGATCAAGTCTTGTTAGTCTTTTTTTAGTTTTTTAAAATTTATTTAATTTATTTTATTATTTATTTATTTTGGCTGTGCCGGGTCTTAGTTGCAGTATGCATGCGGGATCTGGTTCCCAGCCCAGGGTTCGAACCTGGGCCCCCTGCATTGGGAGCAAGGAGTCTTACCCACTGGACCACCAGGGAAGTCCCTGGAAAGATTCTGATGTTGGTCATTTATGCTTTTAATTCCTACTGTACTCTTTAGACTACTGAGATAATTTTGATGTCGTTGGTCTCCAACACTTGAGCTGTGGCCACCAGAGTAAAAGAGAAAGCCCAGATGATAACAGAATAATTCTAAATTGCAAAATTCTTAAAAGAAAATTCTCAGAAAAGAGCTGTTTTAGCAGGAAATTTTTAAAAATGCATCAGTTTTCGGGAATCCCCTGGTGGCACCGTGGTTAAGAATCTGCCTGCCAATGCAGGGGACCTGGGCCGCTAAGATCCCACATGCTGCGGAGCAGCTAAGCCCGTGCGCCACAACTACTGAAGCCCACGCACCTAGAGCCCATGCTCTGCAACAAGAGAAGCCACTGCAATGAGAGGCCCACGCACCGCAACGAAGAGTAGCCCCTGCTCGCCGCAACTAGAGAAAGCCCATACTCAGCAATGAAGACCCAACACAGCCAAAAATAAATAAATTAAAATAAATTAAAAAAAAATAGAATAAAATAGAAATACATCAGTTTTCTTCTCAGTTAAATCAGAGTCTCCTTCAAGTGGAAACAGCTGCATTGACAATGTATCTTCAGAGAGTGAATTGGTAGAGATGATAAAGGAGTGAGCATGAATTAGAAGCTAAACTATGCCACCTATGCAGACGGCTGGAATTGAAAAGCTGCAGCAACTACTCAATTTGATAATGGTACAACTGACAGAGATCCACTCAAAAATTTTAGTGGTGCTTGTCTGCAGCAAATGAAATGAAAAACTTAGAGCTGGCTCAAAGGAGGAAGCTAACCTACTCAATAAAACAAAAGTTGATCTTCTGTTAGACAGCTTCTGTTGCAGACGGTGAAACTATCTAGTTTGGACAAGGTTGAAAGGACAAAGCATACGTCTTGATAGAAACCTTTCTATGAACTGGTTGCACAAATCTTGAAACTGGAAGAAAGAAGAATGATGTTAAAAACACATCAAAATGAGGATTCGGTTATTAAAACTTAATATATGATCAAGTAGCATTTTACGGGCTTAGAGCAGTGGTGTGAGGGCAAATGTTTAACTGGGTCTCTGGGAGGATAAAGCTCCAGTCTGTGGTTTTTGTCATGACATCGCTAAATACAGAGTTGTGAAGAGGTGTGCAGCAGCACACCATAGATAGTATTTCCTCCATACAGATAGATAAGAGTCAGCAGAAACATCCTCAAGAGCATAGATAATAGTACAGTAATTAGGAAGTGTTGAATTGAGTTTAGAGTACTTATTACCTATGTTTTTATTTTTTTAATTGATTTTTTAAAAAAAGTTATTTATTTATTTTTGGCTGCAATGCAGTGCACAGGCTTCTCATTGTGGTGGCTTCTCTTGTTGTGGAGCCCGGGCTCTAAGCCCGCAAGCTTCAGTAGTTGTGGCTCGCGGGGTCTAGAGCGGAGGCTCAGTAGTTGTGGCACACGGGTTTAGTGGCCCCACGGCATGGGATGTTCCCGGACCAGGGCTCGAACCCGTGTCCCCTTCATTGGCAGGCGGATTCTTAACCACTGTGCCACCAGGGAAGCCCTACCTTTGTTTTTAATATAGTTTATTTAATTGTAAGTTTATATAATTCAATTTTAAATAATGGCCATGTTTAAAAACCAGCTCACAAAATCCCTAAAAAATTAACGAGCAACTCCAGCACACCACTAGGCATGAAGATTAAATCAAAAGGCAAAAAGCAGCAGACACAAGGGAATCTTGCAGTACCAGAATGACTATATTATTGTATTTCTAGACATAACACATTAAGAAAAGTTGAAAAATGAAAGTGGAAATAGAAATCCTAGCGCTTACAAATGTGAAGTACCACAGGAACTTTTCTATACTGTACTGCATGTAGGAAAGCATGTGTATTAATAAAGAATCCAGAAGAAAGTAAAAGGAAATACACAGATGGGGCTGTTATCACCAAAGCATGTGTTAGAATGGGATGAAGAAATAGGAGAAAAGGAAGAAAAACATGCAGCTGGGCAAATACAGGGCAACCTGAAAGATTTAATGCAGCCCTTTTGTAATTTGGAATAAGTTTTTGTACTTCAGAGTCTTAGACATCACAAAAGCTCTTGGAGTAAGAAACAAAATTTTGAAATGTAAGTTAATTCACTTGCTTTATAGACTTGCTGACTTTCAAGGGAGATTGAGAGGAGAAAACATTTTCAAAATCCAAGTTAAGGAGCTGGGAAAACAACCACTTTCACTTTTTTCCTACACTGCAATCTTCCACTCTGAAAAATAGGTTAGCATTTGAAGGGGATCAGGATGTGCCACCCCTAAATATGCCACATTAGCACACAGATTATTTTGAACTGAAGGCAACTGAGCAGAAAAAGCTATAGGAAAGGGTTTCCCTGGTGGCGCAGTGGTTGAGAGTCCGCCTGCCGATGCTAGGGGACGCGGGTTCGTGCCCCGGTCTGGCAAGATCCCACATGCCGCGGAGCGGCTGGGCCCGTGAGCCATGGCCGCTGAGCCTGCGCGTCCGGAGCCTGTGCTCCGCAACGGGAGAGGGCACAGCAGTGAGAGGCCCGCGTATTGCATTAAAAAAAAAAAAAAGAAAAAAAAAAACTACAGGAAAGTTCTCTGCCTTCCCTTTATCTGCCTGAAAGCAGGCTATAAATTTCCCTTTAGGAAGGTGTGTCCCCACTGTACCAGGAAGAGAAGAACACTCATCACCAGAGGCTGGGAGTCCACACTGAGATGAGTTTGCCTAAACAAACTTTATTAAAATAACCCTTATCTTCCATTAGTTCTCCAATACATTTTCTAGTCACTTCTCTACAATTTATTGTCCTTTGAACCTCAAATCCCCTTTCCTTTGTTAAAATGGTAATATATGTCCCCAAGTCTAGACACTTCTTTAACTCTTCTGTGAACTCCTGTGCACATAAAAAACTAATAAATTTGTATTCCTTCTCTCCTGTTAACTCTGTCTTTTGTCGGTTAAATTCAGACCCCATTCATGAAACAAACCTAAGAGAGTAGAGGAAAAATTTTCCTCCTCCACACAGTAATGGTGACTCAGTGCCTTTCAAAGGTTGTCTAAAGGCTTAACTGTGCTTACTTGATATCAGATGCACAGCCCATCACTAATATCCATTCTCTTTCCATGGCTGACATCACTAATCAAGCAGGGTACCTTTTCCCACTGAGCAAAATGTGATCTCACAATCTCAACCCAGTAGACCAAGCTGCCATACAAGGTGCAACCTGCTAGCCAATTCTGGCTCAGGAACGCCATCAAAAAGACCTTGAATAAATGAAGATCTGCTAAAAAGTAAAAACAACAGAAATTTCATGTGGCTGTAAGGAACACACAGAAATAATCTAATCCACCACTGCAGAAAGTAATCAACTGCTTAAAGTCAAACTTACAGCTGCAGGGACTTCAAAACCAAAAGCTGCTGTTGCACTAATTGCAAAATTTTCATCTAATACACAAGGGCTTGGAATAGATCCTAATGGTTATTTTATCTCCATTAAAGGCAATTGGATAAGCAGGCCATTAACAGTAGATTCAGCTTCCGTGCTTGTGCCCAACAGGAAACATTTATATTTCAAGCCTTTAAAAAATTTACCATCATTTAGACATAGTCAATAGATAATTGGTGAGGCTGATGCAGTAATAAATGCTTAATAGATAAATCTTCCCCATCTGTAATTCTTTAATAACAGGGATAGATTTCAGTGTACAGACTTCTAAAACACAACAGTCCTCCACGGTCATTCTCTGTTCTAATATCCTTTGGACAATGAATACAATTTTTAATTCATGCAGACTTATAATTCTCTCACAATTTGATTATATTTTATCAGTTTGGGTGATTTCAATTAAACAAAATAAGAGAGATAGAAAATAGAGACCAAAGCCCAAAACTTTCAAAGTTTTTTTTTTTTAAATGCAAAGAATGATAAAGAATCAGATTTGCTGTAAAATAGCTAGTGGGAAGCATCCGCATAGCACAGGGAGATCAGCTGGGTGCTTTGTGACCACCTAGAGGGGTGGGATAGAGGGCGGGAGGGAGACGCAAGAGGGAGGAGATATGGGGATATATGTATATGTATAGCTTACTCACTTCGTTATAAAGCAGAAACAAACACACCATTGTAAGGCAATTACACTCCAATAAAGATGTTAAAAAAAATCAGATTTGTTGCACGAGGACTCAATTGTTAGCTAATTAATAAATAGTAAGAAAACTTTCAAGAACAGTGACCAACAATGGGTCCGTTTTCATCCAAGTTCCCACAGATCACTTCTGAGAATGCTTTCAAGTCAATCTGAACAAAAGTAACCTCCTTTCATAAAGAAAAGAAGAAAAAGAAAAAAATATATACAATTATCACAAGAGCATAGGCATTATCACACTAACATAAAGCAAATGAAAGTCAGAAAGAATGAAGAAAAAGTATGGAGAACATGGCGCAAAAAGGTATTCTTAAAAGAGGACTTCAAGTAAATGTTTCTTTGCCCAAATAAACGTAAATACAGTGGAGCAGATCTGTTGGTTTTGTAGTGAAGACAGGAACAAGCTGTGGTGTCCCATGCTCTGTTCCTTCTGGAGGCGTCATTATTGGCAGACCCTCTGTAAAGCTAAATACGGGTCAGAAGGGCTTAAAATATTGTCAAAGGTAAAATATTGTCAAAGGTTCTGCCACATAGGAATCTAGAAAAATGGTACAGATGAACTTATTTGCAAAGCAGAAATAGAGTCACAGATGTAGAAAACAAACTTACAGTTACCAAGGAGGGTAAGGGAGGGTGGGATGGATGAATTGGGAGATTGGGATCGACATATATATACTACAATATATATAAAATAGATAAATAATAAGGACCTACTGTATAGGTCAGGGAACTCTACCCAGTGCTCTGTGGTGACCTAAATGGGAAGGAAATCTAAAAAAAGAGTGGGTATATGTATATGTATAACTGATTCACTTTGCTGCACAGCAGAAACTAACACAACATTGTAAAGCAACTATACTCTAATAAAAGTTGATAATAATAATAAAAGGTTCTGCTACATAATTTGAAAGTGAGTTCTCTAAAAAAACAATTATTCCCTCCCAAATGGTTAATCTGTTTCCAACACACCACACATGCAACACAAACAGACACACACACATGCAACACAGACACACACACACACACACACACACAGGAGAGAAAAGTTAAAAACTCAAAAAGAAGGAAACTCTGAGAACAAATTGGACATAATAAACATTTTTGGTTTAAAAAATCAAGGAGTGCTTAAGTTTATTAAATGACATTTTACCCCATAGAGAAATTTTGACTCAGGAAGGTAAAGTTAGTGGAAAAGAAACATAAATGAACCATACAGATCCATATTACTCCTTAACTAAGGTGGGAAATTACTTATCTCTGTGTTAACAAAGATAAAACACCTAACCAGAGAAAAACACTCATTATGATCAAAACAGATTTATCATGAATAAGCACTGGTGGATAATATATGAAAAATTTTAGTTCATTACTATTAATTGCACAAAATGCCCATGTTAATTAGCTACTTATAAAGGGCATTCCTTTAAACATTTTGTAAGAAAAAGGCCTTTGGAAGGGATAATGAATCTTCTATGTAAGTCACACATAAAACCAAGCAATTATATGCCTATGCCCCTAGATTTCATAGTGAAGACAGGAACAAGACGGCTGCCCTCTCTCATTTTCTTAAGGGCTCATCATTATAACCCCAGGGATGGCTGGGAGAAATCATCCCAGATCATTCTACATGATGACCCATGAACTTTGCCTTCTTGAAGGGATGCTATAATGCAACCCACTCCATGGAATGCAAGTTCTTTATAATTTTTGAAGTCTCAGGCTTCAAAATTAATTACATGCAATTATTATTTGGCCAATGTCCCTAATTCTGTTAAATTTGTAATTACTCAAAGCAGATACTGACATCTTTGAAACAATGGGACAGAAGTTCTCAGATTTCTAATTTGAATACGAACAAGTAAATAGAATTCATTTATCTAGTCAGTATTTACGGACTGCCCTCTATATGCCAAGCATTGATCTAGGCACTGGGATTCAGATATGAACAAGACAATTTTCCTGCCCTCACAGGGCTTACTTTCATTCTTGGAGGTGTAGAGACAGAAACATTTGTAGACAGTGATTGGTGTTACAAAGTGAATAAAACAGTGTGATAGGATGGAGGCTACTGGCGTATTGGCTGTTAGGACTGTCCTTCAACCCCTGTCTCATTCCCACCCCACCTTGCTTCTGCTTCATTCCTCTCTGCAGTGAACTTTCTCCACCTCTCTGTTCCATATCTGGTGTAGGCGGCTACTCC